TGTGTGTGTGTGTGTGTGTGTGTGTGAGAGAGAGAGAGAGAGAGAGAGAGAGAGAGAGAGAGAGAGAGAGAGAGAGAGAGAGAGAGAGAGAAACTGATGAGTGTGGTCGGAGCCGCACTGTCTTCTTTACTTGTGTGTCGTTGTAGGTGCAGGTGGAGCGTGGGAGAGGAGGTTTCCACGATGGAGCGTGGGAGAGGCAGGGGGGGGTATCATCGGCATTGCCAGTTGTTCCCGAGATCTGCTTCGGCAGCGCCTCCTCTCTGGTTGTCAGTTGCGATGGTGTGCGGTATGTTGCTGTGCGAGTGGTACCCCGAGAGAAGTGGATGGTGGGGAATGGCGCTTGCAGAAACTACCTGGATGCCTATCCAGGGGTCTGTTGATCAGTCGGCTGCGATCCGGATAAACTGTGGTGGGAGAGGGTTCACAGATAGACGGGGGCGAGCCTGGGCGGACGACCGGGGTTTCGAATGGTGCAGTGCACCATCCGTCGCTGGAACTCTGCCGGTGGGAATGTCGATGAAGCCCGATGGACCGGACGATCCAGATGCGATCTATCGGAGCTTCAGAGTGTTTGATCTGTCAAAGGGTGGAACTGCAGGGTACAGGTTTTTGGTAGAGAGCTCAACCTATTACCTCGTGAGAGTACGATTCACTCTGTTCTACTACGATGCAGGTACTGCACCCTCGTCATTAGCCGCGGCGAGTGCGGCGAGCAACCTCAGTGGCGGCGGCGGCGGCGTCGGAGATGGGCGAGTGATCTCTCTGCCTTCTTTTGGAGTTGCCATTGAGGGTATAGAGGTGGTAGACGTGGTCGTGAGCGAGGAACAAGCCGCGGCGGCGGCCGCGGCCGCGGCCGCAGGGAACGCGACCTGGATCCCAATCGAGAAGGAGTTTGTGATCTACATGCAGAATCGCGGTCTGAAAATTTTGTTCCTGCCGGTGTCCACGGCGTCCGCCGCCCCTCCAGCCGCAGCGCTGTCTGCGCTTGCATCGTCGGGGGAAGGAGGGGAGAGGTCCGTTGCACAGGTCAGCGCCATCGAGATCGTGCCGATTGCCGACCCTCTGGTCGCTGCGCACATGGACTTCAAGGAGGGCTTCCCGTCGGTCCTGCTCAGGCTGGAGCACAGAGTCAACTGCGGGGGTGAGGACGTGCTGGACACGGGGACGGGCGTCTTCGCCTGGCGCGGCGATCGCGCGGTGCAGTTCGATCCTCCCACCAGTGAAGCAGTGAACTTCACGACGACCCTACCCCCTTCCTCCCCATCGTCGTCCTCCTTATCTGTGGAGGATGCGGGTTACCTCGCACAAGCTGTGCGCAGCACGGGCAGAATCGCTGCTGTCTCCGACGACGCCGCACAGGGTCTGCGGTTCGTTTTGAACGTCGAGGCCACGAATATGCGGTCGTTATCAGGGTTCTGTGTGCACACTTATCACGACCTCGCTGTGGGTGGCAGCAACAACGTGAGCGCGGCAGACCTATCCCTCGTTCGAGAAGGCGTGCAGCCCGAGTCGGCCTCCTGGGTCCGAATCGATAAAATGGAGTCAACTGGTGTGGTCGAGGATTTCTTGACGATCCTGACCGAATACCGACTGCATCGTGGCGGCGACAACAGCAGCTTGTTTCTCCAGACGCGCCATTGTTTTGCCAATGTCTATGTCGAAAAGAAAACGATCGCTGCGTTGAGGGTCACTTTCCGGTCGAGCGAGGAACTGGGATCGATTACCCGCCGTCCTATGGTCAATGCCATCGCCGTCTACTCTCTCTTTGAGAAGTATAACAGTAGCACTCTGGCCTCCGCCTTCCAGAAAGTCACCCTCACTTTCGGACTTCCTTTTACGTATCTAGACCCTTGTCTCGATCCTCAGCTTTATTTTGTGAAGTGCGGTTTCGTCCAGAAGGAAGGGATGCTGGCGATTCGCATCTTCAACCTCAGCAATGCAGGCGTGCAGGCCACCATCCCCCCCGAAATTGCAGCCTTTGGGTACCTGGAGGAACTTTACATTGGCTGGAACAAACTGTTTGGACCGATTCCGACGGCAATAGGGGATAAAATGCAAGAGCTTACCATCCTCGACCTCCGGAACAACTCGCTGAACGGCTCCATTCCTCCCTCCCTGTCCCACATTCCAACACTCCGATTTCTATTTCTTGACAACAATCGCCTCACCGGAGCGATCCCTAGACACTTCTTCGAGATCGATGACCTCAATTTTAGCTATGGCGGGAACACAGGCCTCTGCAACCCTTACGAAGACGCTGAGTGCAACGACACCTCGCCTCTATGGCCGGGAGGTGGGGAGGTGGGACAGGCTTCGGCAAGTGGAAACCTTGGCGGCGTGGAGAAGTCGTTACCGGCAGCTCCAAGTCCTCAGGCGCAGGTGAGCAAGCCGGGCGTCGGCTGGAAGGTGGTGGTCGCCATTGTGGCGGCAGTGGCAGTGTCTACCATGGGCTGTTGCGGAGTGGTGCTGTTACTTCAACGAGGAAATGCATTTGTCCGTCACACACGGCACAGCCGCCTGGGTAAGCGGCACGACGGACCGCGGTTCTCACCGACACGCGTCGGCATGTCCGACGCGCTGATCAGGCCGGGGTTCGGCGGTGATGGTGCTCCCGCACCGCAGCTGGTGGCGGCGCCACTGCTTCCTCCAAGACTACCTGGTGCTGGTGGGCCCCGCACAGCCGCCGCCGCCCTCTCCTATCAGCAGTTCTCGGAGGACGAGCTTGCGGTCATCACGATGAATTATCGGTTCAAAATCGGAAAGGGTGGCTTCGGCAATGTGTACAAGGGATTCCTTCAACCGGGCGGGGGGGCTGTTGCGGTAAAAGTAGCAACCATGGCATCTAGTCAGAACGCGGAGGAATTCCACAAAGAGATCTCCATTCTTTCCCGCCTCTATCATCGTCATCTGGTCCAGCTGATGGGTTGCTGCAGCGATGGCGGGACACGTGCCATTATCTACGAGTTCATTGTGAACGGATCGCTGCATGATTACCTGCATGGCGGCGGTCGCGGCGCCAATGTCGGAGAAGGAAACGGAGAATCCACCGCCGCCGCGGCTGCCGGCGATGGCGATCGTCCATGCCGACGACCGAGCTTGGACTGGAGCCATCGACTAAGGATTTTAATCGGGACAGCCCGCGCCCTTGATTACATTCACACCCAAGTGCATCCCCCGATCATTCATAGAGATGTGAAATCGTCTAATATCCTTCTGGACGACGATTACGAGGCAAAGCTCACGGACTTCGGGATATCAATGGAGATGGCATCGACCGACAAAACACATGTCACCGCTGAGCTGGTGCAGGGCACGTCAGGCTACGCGGATCCGGAGTACTGCACGTCTGGCAAGGTCTCGGAGCGAGTGGATGTTTACAGCTTTGGTGTCGTCTTATTGGAGGTGATCATGGGTAAGGAGCCACGGAGCAAGTCCATGAACATGGAATGCGATCTGGTGGAGAAAGCGCGCAAAGCAATCTCCTCCGTCGATGAAGTCGTTAAGCTGGTTGATCCACGCTTGTCGCAGTGCGCGTCAAGTAGCACCTACAAGGCAGAAACCCTCTTGGAACTCGTTCGCCTCGCGGTGTGGTGTTGCCATCAGTCCACCAAACAGCGGCCATCGATGAGTTTAGTCTGCCATACCTTGCAAGATCTGTTCGAGTCGGAAGCAGGAGGCCTAGGAGGAATAGGAGGAGAAACACGGACCACGAGAAGCGGGTTTGCAGGGAAAAGGGTGCCAATGGCAATATTGCGAGGAGACATTTTAGTGCCAGCGTGATGGGTGGTTTACTCTCTGTCTCTGTCTCTGTCTCTGAGAGTATACCGCCCTTCGCGTCTTTTCGATTAGCATGGTCAATTCAGTCCTTTGGTGGCGCATGTCATTGAAATCGAGTCCACCAGAGAACGCGTCATTGAGTCTGTCAAGCTGGGGATTGGTTCTTTTCCGGCTCATTGAAAACACTGCTTGGCAGAGTCGATTTCAATGAGCAGGAAAAGAACCAATCCCCAGCCTTTTCTCCCTTGGAAGAAACGAGTGGGAGAACGCTTCTCCTCTGTAACCGGTGAGGGGCAAAAGCTTTCATGCTGGTCAGCTGAAGCGGGTCCTGGGGGAGGGGGAGGGCGGCGGGCCAGGAAGGATAAGCAAGCCCAGGAAGGAAGGAAGGATGGATGGATGGTTGCATTTCAATAGCTAAGAGGTGGACAGATTACGTTTGGTGGTCCTTTCCAGCCTGGCACTGGACGGTATCTGGGGGTAGTGGAACGCGGGTGCATCCTTCACGCTCATTGAGAGTGCGTTGCTTCACGTACTTGATCTCAATGAGCGGGAAAAGAACCAATCCCGAGACGTTTCTCTCTTCGAAGGAACCAATGGGCGAACAAACGCGTCTCTTCTGTAATCAGCGGGGGACAAAAGCTTTCACGCTGGTCAGCTGGGGTGGGCGGGGAAGCAAAAGTAAGCCCAGGAAGGAAGGAAGGAAGGAAGGAAGGATGGACGGGTGGTTGCATTGCAATAGCTAAGGGGCGGAGAGATGATGTTCTGTGGTCCTTTCCAGGCTGGCACGCGACAGTATCTTGGGGGTAGTGGAACAACGGTGCATCCTGCATGGCTTGAGCTTGTCCCGTCGCTCGTCTCCTTGGCATCCCTCTCTCCGCTTCTCTGTCTCTGCCGTCATTTTCTTGCTGTAACTGCCAGCCCCCTTATCAACGGGGTGCCCCTTTACTGCGTTGATTTTTTAAGCTGTAGTTGTACTGTTAGAAATGATGAGCTTGTTGCTGGGGACGGGCAGAAGAGAGATGATGTTCTGTGGTCCTTTCCAGGCTGGCACACGACGGTATCTGGGGGTAGTGGAACAACGGTGCATCCTGCAGGGCGTGAGCTCGTCCCGTTGGTCATCCCCTTGGCACCCCTCTCTCCCCTTCTCTGTCTCTGTCGTCATTTTCTTGCTGTAACTGCCAGCCCCCTTGTCAACGGGTTGCCCCTTTACTTCGTTGATTTTTTAAGCTCTAGTTGTACTGTTAGAAATGACGAGCTTGTTGCTGGGGAAGGGCAGAAGACCGCCCAGGGGGCGATCTGCGCTCCTTATAATCAGTGGAAGGCCGGGACGACAATGGCTGATTTGTACAGTGAGAGAAGTTGTTAGCCTGAGGCTCTGTCCTATGAACTGTGTACCGTGCACAGCGCGGGAGCGCAGCCTATTGGGGTCTTTTTAGGCAATCGTTGAGGTGGCAGGGGTACCAGGAATGTTCTTTTGGCTGGGTGAGAAGGGAAGCGTTGTCGATCGTATGAATTAGGCAGTGTTTTGCCGGGTCGTAGGTTGCAGTGTTCATGAACCAGGGGCTGTATCTTTGGTTCATCCAGTTGGAATTCGGGTCTTGAGAGGGTAACAATTTTGACAGGCAGGGGCTTCTTTTTTCGGCACAGGTCACAATCTGTTTCGACAGCCGTCATAGGCCAGAGTGCGGTGGTTGGCCTGTGAGGCGTAGCGAGGACTTGTTTTTTTTTTATCGTTCGGTGTCAGAGGAAAGCGAATATCAATGGTCCGATGGACCAAGTAAAGTCTGTTGTACACTCAGAATCATTTTCAGAACATGAAATATTGCATTCAGGGAGAGCATGCATTGCTATGGTCTGCTCGTGCAGGCATAGATGGCAAGCATAGC